TCACTACAACAGGCAACAGGTTTATTTTGACTCTTCTTGGGAGTAATTATGGAATAATAATGATTTATGCTATATCAATATTTACTAGCATAGTTAATACCTGCGGAAGCACAGCAGAGTCGATGTAAAGTCTTCACAAATAAGAGTTACAAATAATCTATTTATGGGTAATGACATCGTATCGGAAGCCAGGGCATCCAAATAATAATTAATGATGCCTTTATTCAGCCGTTTATTGCTCAAGAGAGCTGTAATTGCGAGTCATTCGGTCCTGAATAAAGTTCCCAAGAAGCAACAAGGTTTTTAGCCCAAGGTTTGTCATCAAAATACTTTTTGCTTGCATCAATTTCTTCTATCTTCGTCAAGAACAGAGATTCTCATTTATGAAAACGTGACTAATCAATAATATAGATTAGAAACTACGTCAGATAATGATTAGATTATTGTCTCCTTAATTCATTTGTATGAAAAAACAATAGAAAAATACTCACGGTGCATTTATGTTGCCTTAGGGAAATCACAACTGCTCTCCCATCAAACATAAAACGTATGGACTGAAAACAACCACGTACACTTGGCCACAGCAAATAATTCACGTCACAGCCACCAAAAAATCACAAATCTTGCGTTTTTTCTTGGAAATTTTACACGTTTTCTGCGTAAGCAATCTTCTTAGCAATTTTGACGTTACGTGAGTCGGCCATTTTTCTTTCGGAACAACAAAAGCAGGAGATAATGTTGCCAGATGGTAAATAAAATATCCACCTTTATTTTGTGTGTGTCTATTAATTAAATAGAATTGATTTCATTAATATAACATTACCATATACAATTCAGCTCATACTGGACATAGAAAGAAATATCATCAGTATTAACAAATCATTGAACTTTATTTAATGAGATAGAAGATCATTATCTATGTGTGTCCATAATCAGCTTCTCTCAGCAAATCTTTGATTATCAATCATTATTATACAACATAAACAGTGGAATACTTTTTGTTAATAATCTCCACAAAATCCTGCAGAATTCTCTTGATATCTTCACGGAAAGGTGTTACCGTAGAGCGTAATGTTGAGATCCATTGAGAGATGTATCGCACATGCGCGATGGCTGACCCGCCGCCGCTGAACTGGGGCACTAGGGCATCGACATGTCCCTGCCATCCGCTAGGTCATCCATGCACACACAGATATATATATATAGGTCGGTTATCTAGGCCGTATTGTTTTGGTCTATATTACGTGGGTGTCGCCCATGGTACACATGAAAATGAGTGAAAGCGACATTTGCATAAACCTCTAAAACATTTTATCCTACTATCGATAGCAGAACCAACAAATATTCTTTTATTTTTAAGCTTACGGCAAATGAAGCTCTTATTTCAATAAAGTCGCAGCTCAGACACATGGATTATGTCAAAAGTTTAACGATCTTAAGTTCCACGGGGTAGGGGACCAGGGGGGGTTAGGTCCACAAGTAAGAGCGTAACCGCGTCTATGCTGCCCGTGTTGATTTAAAAATGTTCACATTTTATTAGCATGATTAGTAATTTCAGCCCAGTGTTTCAAGCTTGTGCCTAAAGCACAGATCTAAGACAAAGTGTTTACTTTCTCTATAAACCAGGGATATCTATGAATATAATATTACATATAACACTTCAGAGAGTGACCCTCCTGTTATTTTAATCACAACAACTACGGCAATATTGTGGTACCATAAATATAAAGGGTGGTGCAGTGACGAAGAAGAGAACATGTTATTTGTACTTTGTAGAAACAATATTAAAAACTCATTATTTGCTTTTATCGCTATTTTTTTCCTTTATTCAAAAGAAATTATGATGTATAAAATTAAGTCTTGGTTTATATACACAGGCATAAGCACCCAAACAAGGGATAATATTACTCATTTTTTTTTCTACTTCATTCTAATCAGGGAATCTAAAAATCACCGGAGGACACCCGGAGATTTTCAACATCATTTAGAGCATCTACTTGTGAAGTTATGTATAAAAATAAATATTAACATTCTGGGTACGGTTAAAGTGTAGAAGCTGCAAGTTGAAGGAGTAGAATTTCAGCCGGACTTATTTCTGTGGCATCAGATATCATCTTTATATTGATATCTAGCGGCTACCCGCAACATTGCCCACATTAACTTTGGTTCTTTGAGAATCCCACAAGAACCTAACAGTTTTCCGGGATCAAAAGTGTCCTATGTGTCAATTCAGGTCTTAAATTTATGCGTATCAAATTTCATCCAAATCCGTTTAGTAGTTTTCGCGTGATTAAGTAATAAGCAAAAAAACTCATTTTCGCATTTATATTATTATAGTTGGATGACAAGGTTGACATACTTAAGGTTAGTTAAAGGTTATTCCTAAAGGATCAGTTTTTCATGAGAAATAAAAGACGCGTGTATTTATAAACATGTTTGTACTATATAAAAAATAAATAACTTTACACCTTCTCCCACCTAAGTGTCGCTTAAATACAAAGCTTCTGCACTATCTCTAGTAGGGTTGGCAGCATCAGAAATGCAACACTTGTTCACTCGAATATATTCTAGATATAAAGGTAAATCATACATCACTCTCATCATAAGCAATATGTCAAATACATTTGTGAGGTCTAAAATCATAATATTTTTACGTAGTATTTTAAATTTTCTATACTTAATACCATTATGTCTTCTATAGAAATATACAGGGTGAAAAAAAACCTATAACAAAGACTAAAACTACGCATCCTGTACACCCAAACAAGTACTATTACAAAATATTATACGTGGGAAACATTTGTATTTTTAAGTTAAAATTTTTTTTTTATTCCAGTACCCAATGTATAGCGTGGCGCGCTACTGTGGCGCTACGCAAAGAATGTGCCTGTGTGTATGTGTGTGCGTGTGTGTAAGTGCGTCGATAAAAAAGTTTCTAAATAACGTTTTTGTAAAAAAAGTTGGAAAAATAATTGTGACTTTGACCTTCAATATCTCCATAACCATAAATTTCCCAGGTATGGTCCAGAAAAAAAAATTATAGTCATGATGTGGAAAATACGTCGCCTTCGACTTCATTTAAGGTTTTTTTACACCCTGTATAATTATTCCCATAGTCTCAAAAGAACCTCATTTATTTTGTGGAAGATAAACATATTACATATAAGATTTTTCAAGAAAAAGTAGTTAATATACATATATTGAATTTATGTATGATGATTTTGACGACATGGAAATGTTCGGCTTCTTTAGAAAAAATATCATTCTAAAGTATCTATAATACAAACATCAGCATCTCATTCTCAGTCAATCTTGTAGTATTTTATTGACTGACATTACAACTGTAGAAACTAAAGTACATATTTTTTGTAGTAATTAAAGGACATTGGGCAAAAATGTATGGACGCTGCACCCACGTCCACCACGGCTTAAACTACATTTGTTTGAAAGGTATTATAGTCATGATCATATGTGACAAAGCGCATCAAATTCCATCCCGGGGGTCTTTTGTTATTTTTGGTTAAATAAGTACAAGTTAATACATACCTATAAAGTTAAGGACTCTTTAAGAAATAAGTTTAAAGAAATAGGCATAATCTTAAAGTTAAGGACTCTTTAAGAAATAAGTTTAAAGAAATAGGCATAATGACGGTTGCATCACAATACATATATGAAAACTTAGTATATGTCAAAAAAAATATTAGTTTATTTACTAAAAATAGTGAAATACATACACTTAATACTAGAAGTAAAAATAAGTTAACTTTACCTGCTACTAGGCTCCACAAAATTAATAACTCGTTTAGAGGCCTCTGTGTTCGCTTTTACAATAAAGTCCCAAGCAATATTCAAGAGTTGAGCCTGACTAAATTTAAATCGACTATTAAAAAAACTCTTATTAAGAATGCTTATTATAAAGTGTCTGATTATATTACAGACAAAAATGCTTGGGTTTGAACTGTTCCAACCATTCCAACGGGTATTTCTATATGATATATATTATGGATCATGTGTTGATGATACTTTTATTGAAAAGCTGTATTTAAAGCTGATTACGTAAGGAAGAATATCAGACTATTTAAGAAGATTTGAATGACAAAACGGCGTGGTCATGATTTCTCCATTGTTTTTGCTTTGTAATTGTTTGCAGTGTCCTACAGATAAATGACTTTAAGTTTAAGTAAATATGTTGTGGTTGATATAGGTGGTTATGGGTAGTCATGCTCTCTTAAAAGTCTCTTCGGTGGTGTCGTGTGAGGCGGGTCGTTACGTTCCCTAAAATATGGTTGAGCGAAGCGATGGCTGGTTCATGCGTCATGCTCGTGAACGGGTGCTGCCAGCGGAGATGAGTCTGCCCTAACTACTTTGATATTTAAGATATAAATGTTTAATTACACCTATTATAAATAACTCTGTTTGTATTTATACTGTGTGACACAGCAATCAAAATGCAGGTGTACAATTAATGTATAATTTCACATTATGTAATGAAGGGTGACTTCATGAATCATCTCTGAAGTCATTTTTCAACTTGACGACTCTGTAAATGATAAAACAGGGAGAAAAAAACAGCCCTTGCTGAGTTTCTTGCCGGTTCTTCTCAGTACAAGGTCTCCCGCCGTAGATTTACGAACCGATGGCGTAGCTTCTCGACATTCATATGTGCTTGTAACAGCCTAAACTGAATAAATGATTTTGATTGATTGATTGATTGATAACCAACGAACATTAATAAAATAAGGGAATTAATTTAGTCTGTTCGACTACATAGAGGGCTCAGGTATTATGGGAGTACTCCACAAGGTGCAAGGGTGCCCCCTTGTGTCATTCTGCCGCGTTAGAGTAAATCCAAAAATCCCCGCATGGGTTGGGGGTTTTTCAAACAGTCTGTTCGTAATAGTAAATTCTCTTCTATATAAAACGGAGCGACCACAAATCCCACACACTTGTCCACTCTTCGAAGAAAACGTGATTTCAGTTCATCCATACTAATTGACAAAACCGATAATCGTGTTCCAATGTCCAAATCGTGTCAGATAAAAATCAATCAAGTGACCGGGAGAGGGCACAATCACAAAGAAGTAAGACGAGTCGACAATTTGCAACTGCAAGTCCTTCAACCCCCGTAGACCGTTTTGAGATGGTTCAGTAAGTGCAAGCGCAGGATGGTCGGCAGGCTTTGTCATCTATATCTGGTTGTATAGTATGATATGGCATATTATTATGGTTACTAATAATATAAAATGAAGGCACTATAAAGTGAATTTATTTAGCTACTTAAATTTTAAGAGAATTCACTTTACATGGGCATATTTAATATGCCCATTTGTCATATCTTTTGACTGCCAGTATATGTTTTTAACGGTGTCATAATAAAAAAGGCTAGTTTTTCATAGATCTATCGATTCATACTAATTACATTGTTGGCGGAGCTGGGTGCGTTTTGCCCATTGTCCTTTGACAATTTATTTTCTTTCGGTAAATAATTTCTTTTAAATTAGTATTACACATTAAATATATGTAATGTCCTTATGAATACATAATATTAAACAAATATGTATTGCAAAACACTTACTATCACATATACCAGACACTTTAAGTCTTTTTATGATGCCTTATCTATAAATTAAAAATAACACCCCTTATGTTTCTTCGGGGTTTAAAAATAACCTTACAAATAGAATTTTAAGTATTTAAGAATACAGATAAACATATTTTTATATTATTCTTTGGAGTGCCTGACGACAAATATAATAAATGATCGTATTTACCAATAAGTTTTGCTGCGGTAGGAACATAAAAATAGGTTCCTCATTGTTACATTTGTCTGAGTTTCCGCTTATTACTATTTCCATACTAGATTAATTGTGCTATTAATATTTTAAACCTTATTAAGATGAAATGGTTTGTAATCATATTTTTTGTATTTTAAATCCGAATTGATTTCGAAACAGCAGATTCAGAAAATTTAATGTATGGGTCAAAATGAATTTATTAGACATTTGGCGTCCAAATTCTACCATTTACCTGATTAAATAATCATAAGCATACAAACTAAAAATGATAACATAGTTAATGCAATTAAATAGTTACGATAATTGGTGCTAAACATACTAATTACTTGCCAAAAACTAAAGTGTTGATCTTGGGGAAAACTGCCTAAAATACGGGTAATACTTTAGTCAAAGCACGAGTGTTCACATTTATTTTTCAAAGTTCATGCGTATAATCCGTACAGTCTACTATAAATCAAATATATAAAGATTTAATATTTTTATTACATCTTAAATAAATCCTTTATCAAAAATCAAGAAAAGACTCGAAATCAGTTGTATGAAAGTAAGTATTTTGGCATGTTTATTATATTTAATTAAAATTCTAGATTTGATCCAGTCTGATACATTTTTTCTAGAAACAAAACTATAAGTTTTAAACAACATTATCTGTTGTTGCTGTACCTAAAACACGGTACACTATTTTCAAAGTCTACAACCTATGCCAACGTGGAAATATATGTATTTTTAACCCACTTTCCACTGTAAGCCCTATTGCGTATTTCATTTAATTAGCAACAATGATTTTAGTAAAAGTTCTTCAAGTTATGATGATGAATTTGAGCAGTTTTCCTACCGTAAGGATTAAACTACATATTTTATTACAATTACGCTCAACCGTTTCTCGTTTGGTTTTATTTCTTAATACACAATATATTTTGGAAAACCTTAATGTTATATTGAACATTGATAACAATCGGACTAGTGTTAAGACCAATGATCGGGCTTTCAAAAAGGAACTACTGATAATTATTTTAAGAAACAACCTCTATAGTCCGAACCCCTTCTAATCCAATCCTCTGTAATTCGCCCACACCCGCCACATTCCATTCCCGAAAAATACTTTTACGTTAATTGCGAGAGAAATCTTTTAATTTTTATAAAATACCTCTCACCAAACTATAAATATTGGATTTCTGTAAAAAAGTTAAATAAATTTGATGGTTATAGATTAGTATACATTCGAAATCTCACAATAGCAGGTACTAATTTAATTTCAATACAAAATACCCTATATATTTGAACGGGGGGGTAAATTTTCAGAGTTCAGATAAAGAGGTCCTGCTGTATCCTACTTATTATGGGTATGCAATATTTACAGTTCTTATTATATTTAGAATGTGTCATGTTAGTTTAGAACTAGAGATGAAGTAAGTATAGTGAAAAAAAGCGTTGCAAATAGACATGAAAAAAACGGTGTTTTTTACAAGAGTACATAATTCAAAATTATAAAGGAACTTTAAACTATTGGCAACACACACGACGCAACGCAAGAAAAAAACAGTCCTACCGTGTGAAAAGGATCTTTACGAACGTTAGTGACAATTCCACTGTCTACGTAAATGACATACAAAATAAGATGTTTACAAAGATGGCGGCGTTAGTTGCAATTTTCGCTACATTCATATTCTTGCCGCACAATAAGTTTTTTTTTAAATTGGTGAAAATAAAACAAAACAAAGGTGATTTTCTTAACTTTTACATCAGCATTCAGAACACGGGTATAAGATTGCGCGGCGTATGAGCGAGACAGTCGTCGATAGTCCGCAGCGCGTTGAGATACAGGAACACGGCGGCCGCGGACGCCAAGTGCCACACATCGTGCGAGTCGTAGAACTGCAGCACCGAGCACTGGGCGTTGTGCTGACGAGACTGGGCGGGGGTTTCCTATATCATAATATAATCGATCAACTTAAAATATTCCTAATTCTTATATGAGAGAGAGAGAGAGAAAACCATTTTATTGACCAATAAAACACAAACATAAAAATTATAAACTACTAAAATAAAAAACATATATAAAAAGTAAGCATTACACAGTTTTCTAAACCTAACAGCCATCATATTGGTCAATCAGGACCCTGCCTCAGCTTATGCTGCCGTGATAATTAACCGTGTTAATAATTGCCATGTAACTAAACGTGTCACGACAACGCTGGTATTCTGACAGGGCCTGTATGGTGCACGGTTTTTCGGTATACAAATAACAATATAATAAATTTAATCAAGAATACGAATACATTTATAATTACATAAATAGTGCTAAGTGCAAAAATGAAAAAATCTAAAAAATTAAAAATATATATGTAACCCAGTATTATAAGCTGTGTTATGTTATTCTGTGGTTAATCTGTGACTTGGCTTGTCACTTTTTGCGATATAAATAATATTCTTCATTGTGATACGCAAGCGTCTTTAGGCTACGGTGGTCGATTACCATTAACCGGACCATCGTGTGCCACACTTTGTAACCCAAGTCCTTCAATTAATAACAGAACATAGGCGAAAGATGATAAAGAGGGAAAATTCGTCTTTTTTTTAATATTCATATTCTGTCTTTGGATACTCGGTAGGAAATTGGTCCATTTTTTTTATTAGCAATTGACATAGCCAGGATACAAGTCCATAAAGCCGATCACATAGTACAAATATAAACTTAAATAAAATACAAACGTGAGATGCGTAAAACAGATTAGAAATTCGTCAAAAACCATCAGTGTTGCCACCCATCTAAAATTTCCCTGAAAATCGGGTAAATATCTGGGGACCGTTACTCACCGACCACTTGGTCCTCGCGTCCAGGAAGTATACTATAGCCGTAGTCCAACTACCTATAGCAGTTATTAAATATATGGCCGCGTGGAAAGGAATACGTTCGTGGTGTACCAGCTTCATAACGACATAAAAACACGTGTAAAGGAACGCGTTTCCCATGAGGATGGCGAGAAGGTGGCGGGCGAAGTCTTTGTTGTGCTCGTACATACTAAATCAAAAATTCAAACACAATTAGAAATAATGACGTTGTATCAAACAACGCTTTTGAGATAGACCCAAAATAAAATCGGTTACAGCGTCACATTTAAATTCACCATTCATGCAAAGTATATATGGTTTAAGTTTAAACGCATGCGTCGGCAATTGCACGAGTGATATTTTTTTAATCACAAGCGTATATAGGCAATGTTAGCCGCTCGCCATCAGCCGGGCTATACGTTTCTTAACATAATTTAACATTAAAAAAATCTCTTTCGTAGCTAGAAACAATGTCAGGAAAAATAATAATAATAATCATATGATGCTTTATTTTTTCAGGAGGGGAATCGATAAGTCAGCATCTGGCAATCCTAGCGGCAGCAGCAATGATGATGATGAAATAAAAAAAAAATATTGACTGTAAAGTCGGTTTACTAGACGATAGTTTAACGTGATAACGTCATAAAGAAACATTGACGAAAAAATTGCATAATTGCCAGCTCTGACGTCACGTGACAAGAAATAAATGCGTCCAAGCCTCGGCTCGGGCCGATCGTGGCTCTCTATCGCTGGTCGAGCGCTCTCGGTCGCTCGCTCAGGCGGAACGTGACACTTTCTCGTGCGCGCAGCCGGTGTTCATCGCTTTATAACACGTTCATCATCAGCCTGTTGACCCCACTGTTGGGGCACAGGCTTTCCCTATGGATGGAATCGGGAGTCCGGACCATGACCCACCACGTAGGCCCAGGGCGGATCGGTGGATACTAACTACTGCAGATGCAGCCGGGACCGACGGCTTAACGTGCCTTCCGAAGCACGGAGGGACTCGAGATAGAAGATTTTTGGTCACCCATCCATTATCGACCACTGTGAAAGTTGGTTAGCTTTAACAATCGCAACTGAACGCGCCATCGAGCTCCTAGAGAATTAAGCTTCCATATTTTATTATTTCTAATTCATTGGGGCGGGGGATACCTCTCACAAACACTACCCAGCAAGCGTAATCACTAGAAGGGGTTTCAAATACAACGTATTGCAATGTAACACATTCCGAAATCGTTCATAATGCATGGTCCCATAAATCTTAAGCGTTGCAGTATTTGTGAGAAGCAATTGTTATTATTAAATGTCAAGGGGCCAATGTATAGACGAATACCTCGTTTTTTGTAGTCTGTAAAATTTTTTCTTGATGTCATTTTTCAAATCAAATCATTGCTGCTTAACTTGCTTAACTTCAACGATCGCAGCCGAACGCGCTAACCAGCCGCGCCATCGAGCTCCTCATATAGCAAGTTACACGTTAAATAAATAAATATTTCCAACACTTACACTAATTAGCCTAGCCCCAAAGTAAGCACTTTATGGCTTGTGTTATGGGATGCTAGGGTAACGGATACAATACACATACTGTACATATATAAGTATATTTATATAGAAATACATATTAAGCATCCATGACTGGAGTACAAATTCCCGTATTCATCACACAAACATCCGCCCCCACCGGGATTCGAACCCGGGACCTCTCGAGTCGGCGACACCATTAAACCCGGCGTACAAACCACTCGGCCACGGAGGTCGTCAATTGAATTGTTGGCACATACACATACCCGTATATAGCGAGCGCCCAGTTGGCCAGGTTGGCGAGTGCGAGGACTGCGGACACATGTTGGCACATACACATACACATACCCGTATATAGCCAGCGCCCAGTTGGCCAGGTTGGCGAGTGCGAGGACTGCGGACACATGTTGGCACATACACATACACATACCCGTATATAGCCAGCGCCCAGTTGGCCAGGTTGGCGAGTGCGAGGACTGCGGACACATGTTGGCACATACACATACACATACCCGTATATAGCCAGCGCCCAGTTGGCCAGGTTGGCGAGTGCGAGGACTGCGGACACATGTTGGCACATACACATACACATACCCGTATATAGCCAGCGCCCAGTTGGCCAGGTTGGCGAGTGCGAGGACTGCGGACACATGTTGGCACATACACATACACATACCCGTATATAGCCAGCGCCCAGTTGGCCAGGTTGGCGAGTGCGAGCAGGACGGCGCGAGTGGTGTAAGAGGGAGCGAGCACGCGCCACCCGTGGCCGCGGACTGCCGACCAGCCGCGGCGGAACACGCCGCGCTCTGGGCACAGAATATATACACTACGCGAAAAGAAGCGACACTTAAGCATGTGTGCTCGTAAAATCGGCCGCGGCTATGTGTGGGTGTCTGGAGGTGCGCGGGGGGGGGGGGGGGGCGTGGAGACGGCAGTCAAAGGCAGAAAAAGGAGAAAATATATAAAAGTTAGCAATTTGCTATAGTACCTACATTAAAAGATTAAAAATTGATTATAAAATAAAACCTGTCCTTCATTATTTACCCCAGTATCCTTGAATCAGTTTACATTTAATAACTTACTATGCATAAATATTCATTGGCACAAGTCTAAATTCCAAGTTCAACCCTAGCGCATACACGCTCCTGCTCAAGGTCACTGACGCTGGAACTCTCACGTACGCAGAGTGTCACCGCTGTGCTCTGGGAGTGACGCGATAATACATATCACTACATAGTATAAAGCAAAGTCGCATCCCGCTGTCTGTCCCTATGTCTTTAAAACTACGCAACGGATTTTGATGCGGTTTTTGAAGTTATACTTCTTTAGCCGTTCCGTTATGAAAAAATTATGAGAGTGAAATTTTAAGATGCGCGAGCATCACTGTAACACAAAAGTAACATAATGAAGTTAACCGCGGGCGCGTTATGAAGAAATGATGAGAGTGAAATTTTAAGATGCGCGCGCAACACTGTAACGGAAAAGTAACACCATGAAGTCGGCCGCTAAACCGCACATTACTCGTAAGTCTCGAAAAAAAGCTTCCAACAAAATAGTAATAGGATCTCTTAGTTGCACATGTTGGGACGCTCGTCGCCTCTGATCACTGTTTTCATATTTATAATATTTATCCACATGTTTCTAGTTTCTATATTCTTAACACGTGTTATAATGTTATACAAATGCAAACTGCTGTATTGTTCAAATAACAACTGAAAAGAAAAAAACAAGTCCAGTTGTATATAATTCTGTTAAGTAAGGAACAATGCCACTTTGTTCCTTACTTAACAGAATTACTTATAGACTACTGGACTTGTTTTTTTCTTTTCAGTTTTTATAATAAAGCAGTCGGGTTTCTTGATTTTTGTTTCAATCTACGTAAGAATCAAACGCTCTTCATTTGTCTACAAAAAATGCGAGGAAGATAGCGAAAACATGAATTTAATTTTTCCATATAAACTGTTCTACGCAAAGATTACAATTTTCAATTCTACCGACTTTCCTTTCAAACATTTGACGTTTCTTTTAGCAGCGGGCATGAATAATCAAACAAGTCACAGAAAAAATCGAAAATATTCACGGACAATTAACCATAGAGGTATAAGAATAGAGTAGGGGAGATGTAGAGATGTATGTCCCTCTAAGAGAAAGAGACAGAAGATGAGACACCGCTAGATTTCTCTCTCTAATCGCGCATGCGCATTGGCAACCGTAAGCATCTTACTATTTGGATATGATGCCATTGGATGCCATGCGTCACAAGAGAGATAGAGATAGCTAGCGGTCTCTCATCTTCTTTCTCTTTCTACTAGACGGACACTTTAAGAGCCGCCTTCCCCACTCTATTTTTATACCTCTATGCAATTGACATGGCGACGCAAAGTTCTTTACATCAAAACAAAGGAACAGTTAAGCCAGAAACATATTAACATGTCGTGTCGTGTCGCGGCGCGCCAGAAGCACATCGGTTTCATACATATAATAATAATAATTTATTTTTCTTTACAATAGCCTTCTTAATAATATATCGATTGGAGTCTCCATTTAAGCAAATATTGCTTGTGTTTGGAGGCTCCGCTCTTCCTTAACTAATAATGTGATTTACAAACTCCAGTATGGTTACAATGAACATGCAAAAAACAAAAAGAAAGAATGAACGAAAATAAAATAAAACAAAATAATAAACAGACGATCTACGCTGAAAATAATTTTAAATCCCATTAAAAGGACTTACAGCTAAGCAAAAGTATTTGCAATTTACTATGGTTAGAGACATATTTACGTATCGTGTCGTGTCGACGCTTTAACCTCTCTATCTCTCTCTAACCCATAATGAATGTATGAAACCGATGCGCCACGTCACGCCACGACACGTTAATATGTTTCTGGCTTTAATCATTACTCACCGATCGTGAACTGGCCCACGTAGTATATCTTGAGTGTGAGCCACAGACAAGTGGTCAGGTGTAGGGCGGTGAACGCCGCCCAGAAGTATACGTTGGCGTATAGTATGCCGCATAAACCTACAAATGAATTCATTGATATTTCCAACACTTACACCAATTAGCCTAGCCGCAAAGTAGGCATTGTAGGCTCATGTTAAGAGCCCTTTCACATTTTTTGCTTAAAATCCTAAAATTTTGAGCGCCTCGTTTACCCCCTTAGAAAAGATTTTGACTATTTCCAATAGAAGTAAACAGTAGATTTATTCTTCCTATTATAAGTTAATGTATCTATACTAATATTATAAAGAGGAAAGGTTGACGTCTGAATGTCAGTCGTATGACGTCACATGCTAGTGGGACGCCTTAATAGGGCGCTACAGGTAGTTGAGTATGCAATATGTGAGGACCGAAATCCACCAATGGATTTGAGTAAAAAAAGGTCAAAGATTAATGATGTGGATCTTGCGTGTCAAATATTTTGGTTAATTTTTTTACCCCTCTTTTCTCATTCGTTAAGGAAATGTATTGAATACATGATATAAAATCATTTTGTTAATTATTTCAGTAATAATTTATAGTTTTTTCTAATCGTAAAAGTAAAGAAGGATACTTGAACAGTCACTCTGTATATAGAATAGAATAGAATAGAATAGAATAGAATAGAATAGAATAGAATAGAATAGAATAGAATAGAATAGAATAGAATAGAATAGAATAGAATAATCTATTCTATTCTATATAATACAGGGAAAAAACAGCCTTTGCTGAGTTTCTTGCTGGATCTTCTCAGTGCAAGGTCTTCCGCCGTAGATTTGCAAACCGATGGTGGATTTTCTCGACCTTCACAAGTGCTTGTAACAGCCTAGACTGAATAAATGATGTTTGATTTTGATATAAGATATTATATAACTAGCTGTCCTAGCGAACTTCGTACCGCCATAATAAAATAGGAGTTGGTGGTAGAAGGATGAAAATTTAGAATTGTATGTATTTTTGTATGTTTTTGGCGGGACTGGTACAGCTTCACCATGCGCCCGCCAGTAATATGACATACCTATAGCCATGAGCGCGGCGATGGCCATGAAGGTAGCGTGAGCGCCCGCGTTGACGTCGGCGTGGCGGGACTGGTACAGCTTCACCATGCGGCCGCCAGTAATATGACATACCTATAGCCATGAGCGCGGCGATGGCCATGAAGGTAGCGTGAGCGCCCGCGTTGACGTCGGCGTGGCGGGACTGGTACAGCTTCACCATGCGGCCGCCAGTAATATGACATACCTATAGCCATGAGCGCGGCGATGGCCATGAAGGTAGCGTGAGCGCCCGCGTTGACGTCGGCGTGGCGGGACTGGTACAGCTTCACCATGCGGCCGCCAGTAATATGACATACCTATAGCCATGAGCGCGGCGATGGCCATGAAGGTAGCGTGAGCGCCCGCGTTGACGTCGGCGTGGCGGGACTGGTACAGCTTCACCATGCGGCCGCCAGTAATATGACATACCTATAGCCATGAGCGCGGCGATGGCCATGAAGGTAGCGTGAGCGCCCGCGTTGACGTCGGCGTGGCGGGACTGGTACAGCTTCACCATGCGGCCGCCAGTAATATGACATACCTATAGCCATGAGCGCGGCGATGGCCATGAAGGTAGCGTGAGCGCCCGCGTTGACGTCGGCGTGGCGGGACTGGTACAGCTTCACCATGCACAGCACCGCCAGCACGTACATGAACGACGAGTCTGTACCATCACAATATTAACTTCAACCTTTACTTTCCAATCAAGTGTGCGAATGATATTCATCGTCATCATCATCAGCCTATTAATGTCCCCACAGCTAGGGCACAGGCCTTCCCAATGGATGGAATAGGGAGTGCGGGCCGTGACCCCCCACTCGAGCCCAGTGCGGATTAGCGGGTGCTAACGACGCAGATGCAGCCGGGACCGACGGCTTAACGTTCCTTCCAAAGCAAGGAGGAACTCAAGATAGAAGATTTTCGGTCAACCATTCAATGACCGACCACTGCGAAAGGAGATTGCTCAGTTTCCATACATGTTTGGCCTAAAGACCAATAATCATGACAAAATTGTTTCCAAGATGCGAAATTATGTATAAATTATTGTAGAAACGAATATTATTGACGGACACCCCTGAGAACTTCTTTAAACGATACACACTAAATGATTTTGAGGTTATGTTTGCAAATAGGTACATAGGGATTAATATAATAAAAAACAAATAAGTTATATAGTAAACTAGGGAAATCAAGCCAAGTACCGAAATTATGTATTAGATTCAGGTATATAGAGCATGCAGATTAACATATAGTTGCCTGTTTTTAAAGTTAATGCACAAGAATAACTTTTAAAATCTTCATGTATGCATTTCCGGTTATAATAAGGTACTCTGTGACAGAAACTGTGTGATGATTGTGAATGAGCCACACATTAGAGAGATTATTTAAACTCTCGTTAATTAAAGAAAGCTAAGAGATTTAGGTTATACAGGCATATCTTCAGTAGCTTCATTATTTTTGTTATGTTTTTATTATAACCATATTTTAGATTTTTAGTATATCACACCTTATAATGTGTTTATGGAGGTGTTTGGCGAAAAATGTATGGCAATAGACTTTATGATGTCGCCTACCATCTATATAATTGTCTTAGCACATTTGCATCTAGTGTAAATGATAATATAGTTGTCAATATTAATACCATAGTGTAATAAAAAAAAGTTTTATTTTATCGATCTTTACAAAATAGATTTGTTTTGATGTTATATACACAACTTCGATCAGTCTTTGGCTGAATATTACTACACCCATAGCCATTAAAAATGATTCGTATGTTTTCCAAACCGGTAAAATTAAAAGTCCTTTTTAAAATGAATATATTACACAAAGGTGTCCGTTAAAATCTAACGACTGTAAAATATAATATAAATTATGCCAAGAATTATCGTATATGTCAACATTTATTGTACATTTGGCCCAATTTGAGCAATCTCCTTTGCTTGACTTCAACGATCGCAGCCGAACGCGCTGACCACCCGCGCCATCGCCATCGAGCTCCTCGATGATCTCAAAACTAGTTAATGAACTTTAAACTATACTCTTTATTAGCACTGCAAATTTAAAGATTTATACGGCATATTCACATGTACCCTCTGGAGCATCACAAAATAGACAGTACAGACCACAGAACACAGAAAGAGGGTGAAAGGATGATCAGAGGCCGTTTGTACGGCAACCGATGTCGTTGCCTCGCCCCCACTAAACTGCCACCTAATAAATAATAGCCAATCAAACGACGCGACATCAAAAAATCGAATCAATGAGCGCTCACACACGAAAGCAACGACGCAAACGAACTAAGTTTTGGTCAAGTTATGAGCATTGGCTCACACATAACTGTGGCGCGCCTGCCCCGCCCACAAGGACCTTCTAACCCCTTTCTGTGTTCTGTGATACAGAAGGTAATCTACACACAACGAGCCTGTACCACCACAAAATAGATTGCACAGAAGATAATCTACATACAACAAGTCTGTACCATCACAAAATACATAAAAATCATAAACACTAACGATCTTCTTGTAACATTTTATTAACATCACACTTAAATTTGTATTCACTGCTTGAAAATATATTTACTTCTGTATACAAAGTATTGTAAATTTCAGCCATTCTATGTGGAGAGTAAAGTAGCTCTGAAAACCTATCTTCTATCGAAATTGCTGTGGCTATAATTATAGCTTATGATTTTATTTTGTTATTTCTGACCAACGATATTGAATACCCTAGATACACCAGTGCTTGAACTCCACTAAAGCACTTCTTGGTTCAGAGTCACGCGCGGACCGCTGAAAAGTCAAGATGCCGCAGAGCTCCATGAAAAAAAACTTATAGTACGTAAACTGTCGTTTTTTCGACAGGTATCGAATCAGTATTTGTTAATTTAACGCATTTAAAGCAAATTCTATTCTAATACATACTAAAATCTGATTTAATAGAACATATTTGTGATATTAAAATGCATGGTCGGTTATATAGCCGTCTCTTTTCCTCGCAGTCCGTACCTGCTATATTGCTAACAGCGTATTTAGAATTGCGCGTAGAGTTAAAGAAATAAGATCCTATATTCTTCTGCATATAGCCAATAAGTCGTAAAATTTCACAAGCTTGCATTTCGAACTGTCATAACTTTTTAACGCATGCGTTTTAATTAAGACCTTATACAGGGTGTTACAGAATTCCGAAATAAAATTTGTAGGTATGTATTCCGAAATAAAAATTTGTAGGTATCTGAGCGGGGCGCAGGGGCGCCTGGGGGAGAGAGGGGAGACCCCCCCCCCCCCCCCCAGAGAGTTTAGGTAGTAGTAATCGTACGCATTTATAGGGTTGTCATAGGCAGGTGTAAAACGATATTTTTACAAGCTTTTATTTAACTTGCTATGTATGTTTGTTACGGTCAAATCTTACAACTCAATTTTAAAGCACTTGCCCTCAACCGATTAAGCTGAAATTTGGTATGCTCGTTCAGTTCGGATGACAATGCATGCTTAACAGTGTGACGTCATTCTAAATCCAATATGGCGGCATACCCAAAATGGCGGACCAATCATTTTTAATGCATTCCTACAATATGGGTATGAAATTAAAGGGCTTGCTGAGAGTAACTCGAAAAAAATGTGACGTCACTCTCAATCCAATATGGCGGACTTCTAAAATTTGAAAATCTATTTAGAAACAAACTTTAACTAAATTTTCTTTTTTTCTTTTTAGCGCATTTGAATAAAAGCTTGTTTTTAAAAAGGTTTTTGTACCTTTATTTTATTATTAATTTAATTAGAAAATAAAAGGGTCTGAAAGGCGTCAAACTTTCGTAGGTAATTCTATACAAGGAACACAACCAAACCCTAAAGTTTTATTTCGGACTTTTGTCACACCCTGTATAGTATGCATTAAAGGTGACATAAATTTTTAAATAAAGCCTTACATTGTTTTTGACTACACGCTCATCTTACGGAGCTCGGTGGATAGTCCAATGTACCTTTTGGCCAGGTTTCGGGCACGATTTTGTTCGTGTTTTTGTATCTAGGGTATTTAATATCGTTGTTTCTGACCGCCAAAGGTTTTCATCAAATGACTCGCACACTTATTTTGGATTGGTTTTAACTTTTAAGGATATTCAAGAAAATGAGTGTCAGTTTTTGGAGTTTACTCCTTAAGAATCGATTTGCATATATAAGGGGCCCGGTATGATAAAAATGTGAGGAGTAAAATGTGTATGTGAATGACATTAATGACCTCGTTACGTTTTTGTGCGCAACCTCATCTGCGCACGTTTCACTGTTAGCCATGGCAACGGATAAAAAACATTAAGTTGTCACAAATGTCAATAAAATAAATAAACTAAAAATAGATAAAATTAATGAAAACAAATAAATAACAGAATATAGAGAAATGCCGGTAAGTGTCCAGCACTCTGGAATAGTGATTTTCAGTACAGATGGAATTATAATACATATTTACAAAATGATGACTAGTGTGTGATATTTTTGAAATGGTGTGTTTCCAGAAATACATAATAAAATATATAATGAATATCGCTGATGTTAGATGATAAAATGTGTGACATGGAACCTATGATAGTCGAAACCATGGGAAGATTCCTGAGGTATCTCTTCTTGTAACCGACTTCTTCGGACTTGATTTTTTTTTGTGTCTGTTCAAAGACAATCGTTTTTAGAGTGTAAACTCCGGTCGTGCGTCGGAGCTGACACACACAATTTTTTTTTCAGCTAGGTAAGCTAATAACTCTACCCCTTTTGATGTTAAGTGGTGATAAAGTCCAGACGCAAAGTTGGCTGGTGTATTTGAAAACTTTTGGCATTCAGAAATAACAAAATGAAATCCTAAGCTGTACTTGTAGCCATAGCAATTCCAATAGCTATGACGATGAGTGTTTACTGAGTAGCGACCATTTTGGTTTTAAAAATTTTGCATGCTGTAATATATCTGTTGTTATAATTAATAGACTTCTTTGGCTTCATATTGTGATCTAGTCTCGTTAATAACTATAATTGTTTAAAGAAAATTTTACTAGAAAAAGATTCACGTAGCAGACGGGTCTCGAACCCGCACCCTTCGCTATCCGGGCGGATGCACTGACCATTATACTACTGCAGCCCTGATGGTCCTATAGAATTTTCTCTAGTGTTTCTAAGGATGCAAGGCAGCGTCATCTCTTCGCATTGTAGGCAACTTACTATGTCATTAAACACCTTTACCAGTATTAAACATTTGAAAGAAGAAATAGCAATAGAGATGATGACAATTTTTTTTTCTTCGTTCATCAGGTAGATTATCAAAAAGTATTGGACAAGTATTTTTTCTTTTTTCACATAATATAAACATTGCAGATATATATTGATTTGAAAAGTTGCATGGCGTCACGTTTTGGTACAATTTTCACTCAAAAGTGACGTCACGAGCCCCTACTCCCAAACTTTGACGCGCTATAACTTTGTCATTTTTTGGTTGATTGCCCAAAGAAAAAATACGTGTCCATTATTTTTTGATCATCTAACTGACGGACTAAAAAGAATTCCGTTTACTGTACCCCGTCATCACCCCTACTATAGCTCGGCCCGCGTAGATTTTTTTAAGTATAATTTTCTCTAGATTTAATCAGCTAGCAGTTAAAATTTAAATATAACTATAATTGTTTCATTTGATTTGATTTATAAATATGAATCTAGTGTAGGGTGTGTATGTCTCACCAAACTGGAAGTTCATGTGATTGGGGCACAGGTGGTAGCAGGCCGACAGCACTCCCTCCATGGCCAGCGCCAGCCCCAGCGAGTACTGCACGCCGCGATGCTGCCGGATACCAGTCTCCTGGGATTAGCACCATCATCATCATCATCACCAGCCACCACCAGACTGAGGATAGGTGGCTGTTAATACTGACTGGTCCTATGCGGAGTGCCCAGTGCTTAAGGGCCCAGTGCAGGTTGAGGGTGTAAACGGCCCGATGGAGGATTGGTGGGTGCTGAAAGACCCAGTGGGCATTGGATATGCTAAGGACGGATTAAAGATTGGTGGATGATAAGTCTCAATGCGGGTTAGAGGTGATAACGTCCCAGCTGAGCCAAGGTGCTAGCTGCTCCAGTGAGGAATGGTGGATGCTAATGGTCCTAGTGCAGATTAGGGGTGCTAACTAACCGAGTGAGGTTTGGTGACCCGGTGCAGATCAGTGTGTGGCGGCGACATCTATATGCCCCACAGATATACAACGGATGGAGGAAATCATTACTCACCATCCTCAAGAGATGGCGTTACCTGCACTGAGATCAATTAGTATGGAAGCCTACATCGCGCAAATGAAATTCGGAGGCTAACTCTTCATATATATACGATGCCCGACCAACATCAGTCGGGCCGCGGCCCCCGAGCTAACATCACCCAGCTCGGAGGAAGATCTTCCCCTTTGGCCTTCCTACAAGCGCATGATAACACACCCAGTGCGGATTGAGGATGCCAAAGGCCCAAATGGAGATTAATGGGTGCTAATGGGTCCAATGCATTGGTGTTGCTATCGTGGACAGTGAAGATTTGGTGGTGCTGACGACTGCAGATGCAGCCGGGACTAACGGCTAAGCATGCCTTCCGCAGCACGGAGGAGTGAAAGATAATAAGTTTTTGGTCACCCATCCTATGACCGACCATTACTAAAAATCCATTACTTCAACGATCGCAGTCGAATGCGCTAAGTATTTGCGCCATCGATCTGCTCCTCTCTCGAATACCATACCAGGGAATCAACTAAAAAGGCAATTTAAAAGAAGTTATAGAAAATGATCTCCAACCAAATAAGTCGGTGATAAAAGTTCTTTTAAATATGTTAAAAAACTAAATATCCCAGCGCACTTTGTAATAGGGGAGCCCACTTTGTAATAGGGGAGCTCACTTTGTAATAGGGGAGCTCACTTTATAATAGGGGAGCCCACTTTGTAATAGGGGAGCTCACTTTGTAATAGGGGAGCTCACTTTGTAATAGGGGAGCTCACTTTATAATAGGGGAGCCCACTTTGTAATAGGGGAGCTCACTTTGTAATAGGGGAGCTCACTTTGTAATAGGGGAGCTCATTTTATAATAGGGGAGCTCACTTTGTAATAGGGGAGCTCACTTTGTAATAGGGGAGCTCACTTTGTAATAGGGGAGCTCACTTTATAATAGGGGAGCCCACTTTGTAATAGGGGAGCCCACTTTGTAATAGGGGAGCTCACTTTGTAATAGGGGAGCTCACTTTGTAATAGGGGATCTCATTTTATAATAGGGGAGCTCACTTTGTAATAGGGGAGCTCACTTTGTAATAGGGGAGCTCACTTTGTAATAGGAGAGCTCACTTTGTAATAGGGGAGCTCACTTTGTAATAGGAGAGCTCACATTGTAATAGGGGAGCTCACTTTGTAATAGGGGAGCTCACTTTGTAATAGGGGAGCTCACTTTATAATAGGGGAGCCCACTTTGTAATAGGGGAGCTCACTTTGTAATAGGGGAGCTCACTTTATAATAGGGGAGCCCACTTTGTTATAGGGGAGCTCACTTTGTAATAGGGGAGCTCACTTTGTAATAGGGGAGCTCACTTTATAATAGGGGAGCCCACTTTGTAATAGGGGAGCTCACTTTGTAATAGGGGAGCTCACTTTGTAATAGGGGAGCTCATTTTATAATAGGGGAGCTCACTTTGTAATAGGGGAGCTCACTTTGTAATAGGGGAGCTCACTTTGTAATAGGAGAGCTCACATTGTAATAGGGGAGCTCACTTTGTAATAGGGGAGCTCACTTTGAAATAGGGGAGTTCACTTTGTAATAGGGGAGCTCACATTGTACCCCTATTACAAAGTGGCAGCCCAAGCGGGGATTTGACTGACCATGACATGATATGACCATGACTTTTGGTCGCGTCCAAATCTTAAGCCTTTTGAATTGGAGATACTGGAGGGTTCCAGTTCTACACTGAGATTAAAACAAAAAGGGAAAATACGGAATGCTCATACTAGCATCAAATAAAATATGATCTGACTTAACTACATATGCAACCTGTCACACACGCACAATTCTGTATATAAACATTCAATCAACCGAGCGAGACAGAACTGTACGCTTCAACGCAGCGCGAGCGAAACGGCGAGCCCTCGTCGCTTGGCTTGAAAACTGCGTTTTCTTTTATCGGCTGCTGCATTATTGTTCTTTTCTTGATAAAAAATGGCGAATAAGTAAATAACATTGATGACAAACCATGAGTTAGAGAAAAAAAATGAAAATTAAAAGACTTTTACAGTGAGTTTAGAATTGCGTGTTTCAGAAAGAACTGTGTGGTGAATAAAGAACTGTCAAGCGTGAATTGGCATATAATGTCCCATCCGAACACGTAACAATATACAGACCTGGTCGGGTCCGGTCCGACTGACTTGCATCATGAAGGCCAGCCCCAGTATGACGTAGGGCGCGTTGGACAGCACGTGGTTGAAGTCGGACAGCACCCCCAGCGGGTGCGCACACAGGAAGTTGTAGTAGCACACGTCTTGGTCACCCGTTTGTACGACCATCTGGTACAAATTTCATGAGAATAAACTTTGCTAAAGTCGAATTTAAAAAAACTTTTAAGCTATTGCATAGCTTTTATCGCGGGCTTTGTGCGCGGCGACGGAATCAAGAAATTCCGTAACGAAAATAAATCTAACACCCCCACTCCAACCGAGAGAGTGGTAGTGGGAGGAGTGGGTGGAGTAGAGGGGTAGAGTGGTAGTGGGAGAAGTGAGTAGGCTGGGTAGAGTGGGTGGACTGGGTAGAATGAGAGGAGTGGGTAGAGTGGGTAGACTGGGTAGAGTGAGGGGAGTGGGTGGACTGGGTAGCGTGGGAGGAGTGGGTGGAGTAGGTGGAAAGGGTAGAGTGGTAGTGGGAGTAGTGGATAGAGTGAGAGTGGGTGGACTGGGTAGAATGGTAGTTGGAGGAGTGGGTTGAGTGGGTAGTGGGTGGTGTGGGTAGAGTGGGTAGAATGGTAGTGGGAAGAGTGGGTGGACTGGGTAGAGGGGTAGTGGGAGGAGTGGGTGGAGTGGGTAGAGTGGGTATAGTGGTTAGAGTGGTAGTGGGAGGAGTGCGTAGAGTGGGTAGAGTGGGAGTGTGTAGAGTGGTAGTTGGTGGAGTGGGTAGAGTGGTAGAGGGGTAGAGTGGGTAGTGGTAGTGGGAGGAGTGGGTAGAGGGGTAGAGTGGTAGTAGGAGGAGTAGGTAGAGTGGATGGATTGGGGAGAGTGGGTAAAGTGGTAGTTGGTGGAGTGGGTAGAGTGGTAGAGGGGTACAGTGGGTAGAGTGGTAGTAGGAAGAATGAGAAGAGGGGTAGAGTGGGTGGACTGGGTAGAGTGGTAGTTGGTGGAGTGGGTAGAGTGGGAAGAGTGGGTAGAGCGGTAGTAGGAGGAGTGGACTGGGGAGAGTGGGTGGACTGAGGAGTGGGTAGAAGGGTAGAGTGGGAGGAGTAGATAGAGTGGGTGGAGTGGGTAGAGGGGTAGAGTAGGTAGAGTCGGAGGAGTGGGAGTTTGGGTGGAGTGGGAGGAGTATGGAGTGGAAGTGGGAGTAGTGGGAGGAGTGAAAATGCAGTATGTACAATAATCACTTTATTGATTACATTAGTACGACAGACTAGTCTTAAAGTACGTTCCAAAAATAGGTAGGAACCATAAAACTAGTCTGCGAACAAACAACCGCAAACAATTACATTATGTATTTAGTTCTGCTACCACTACTTGTACTTTGTTCATCCTGAATTGCAGTATAGTTTTGTTTTTGTTACATTTTTACTATAGTTATGTAAAAAAAAAACGTGAGGTACTCGGGGACTGCCGCGGTAAAGTTATTGCATAGCTTTTATCGCGGGCTTTTAGCGCGGCGACCGAATCAAGAAATTCCGTAACGAAAATAAACCTAACACCCCCACTCCGACCGGCACAGCGGTGCGGCGTTGAAAGCCGAGCATCGTCTAACGTCGTTTCAGTTCGGCAGACTTCGGCACGGTGTTTGTGTGCGTGCGACTAGACGTATGCGTGTAGACTAGCTGCTAACTGCTCATAAATGATTCTATCTCCTTTAGACACAATGCTAGGTGAGACAGCGTGCGTTTTGACCGCATCCACGAGTGAGTTCGAGCCCGCGACTAATTGAACCTTAACGGGCATGCATATGGTACGACTGTACGAAGCTCGCACGGATCGAGACGAGCTGCTCCGAAATCGGACGAATACGTAAGCAGCTGTTTGTGAACAATCACCACGCAAGAAAAATGTAACTTGAAATAATATCAAAGAAAAAAAATACTGCATAAATAAAATCAATAAATAATTATAATTGCATAAGTTGATAAAAAAATGCTATGCAATAGCTTTACCGTGGCAGTCCTTGAGTGCCACACGTATTTTTTTTTAATTAAAATAAGGGTTTACTTTACTTTTCTTTAACTTTTTTAAAATTATCGTAGAAACGACGATCTGGTACAAATTTCATGAAAATAAACTTTGCTCAAGTCGAATTTTTAAAAACTTTTTAACAATTTAAAAACATTTAACCGCTGAAAAAGCTGAAGCAAGAAATAATAAAACTCTGTTAGTTATATTTTTATGATTTTAAGCATTTGAGAGCAAAAATATCTAAATATAGTAAAGGTATTCATTTGACATTGTGGGTTGCCTACAATGCGAAGAGATGGCGCTGCCTTACAGCCTAAGAAATACTAGAGATAATTTGACACGGTCAATTAGAGCCACGGTTGCATAATGGTCCGTAGTTCCGCCGGACAGCAGATGGTGCTGGTTCGAGTCCTGTCTGCTGCCCGGTCCCATCGGATTGTTTTCTAGTTTTTTTTTTCATATTTATATTTATTTATAAGAATTGAATACCATCCAGTGGACAAGAGAGGACTTGGTCAATGCCGTACACATAAATAAATAAATATTTTAACACTATTTTTTTCACGAACTTTCATGCTTCAACTATTTTTTTTATTATTATTTGTTAATTTTGACCAAAATAAATGTTCTCCAGTTTTATATACTTAACTTCCGCCCGCCCTCGCTTCGCTTCGGTATTTTATCCCCTTGGGGGTAGAATTGGTCAAAATCCTTTCTTAGCGGATGCCTACGTCATAACATCTACCTGCATGCCAAATTTCAGCCCGATCCGTCCAGTGGTTTGGGCTGTGCGTTGATAGATCACTATGTCAGTCAGTCACCTTTGAGTTTTATATATATAGATTAACAGTGATAGGTATGTCGGATTACAGGGGGTGTCGGATTAGACCAGGTCCGGATTATAACGGGTCTACTGTATAGTTTTGTTATTTACAAGGCATATGATGAGCCTATTGTATGGCGGCGCCCCTATTGCCTTGGCGGTGCAGCCCTGGGTGTGTTCAACATATTACAAATGATATGAAAGCTATTCTCTATCAAACAAAGGCCGCTAAAACTTATTCCAATTTATACTTCAAAACTAACGCGACACTGAAAAAACAAAATACTTTGACAAATCAATTATCTGCACTGAATTCGGCTATCCATTCATTGGGTAAGATAATGTTAAACAGAAATCCCAAGCAATCTCATGATTGGTGTGTAGGTGTCGCAGTTTCTTCGCCCGCCCACTCGATCGCAATTTTTTATGCCCCGCCCACTTGACCGCAGTTCGCGTGGAACCACTTTGGGGTTCTTCTTAAAATTATTTCTAATTCATTGTAAGTGTTACATAAAAAAGTGAAATCCTGAAAGGGCAATAACATGTGTGTATATCTTTATATATATAATTCTTCTGTGAGTGTGTATGTCACTGAACTTCTCTTAAACGACTGGACCGATTTTGATGAAATTTTTTGTGTGTGTTCAAGGGGATCTGAGAATGGTTTAGATTCACAAAGACGTGTAGACAGGACAACGTCTGTCGGGTCCGCTAGTAATATTTATTTTTTTAAGCATGTAACTGCTTGATGTTTAAATATAAATAAAATAAAACTAGAAAATAATCCACGCGGACCAGGCAGTAGACGGGACTCGAACCCGCACCCTTCGCTATCCAGGCAAATGCACTGACCAATTATGCTATCGCGGCCCTGATGGCCTCGTCGAAATTCTTCTAGCCAATCCTTAGTTGCAAAGCAAATGAATACTTTTACAAGTATTAAACATTTGAAAGAAGAAATAGCAATTATTGTTATAATATTTATTTTTTTAAGCATGTAACTGCTTGATGTTTAAATCTAAAGAAAATATAACTAGAAAAATATCTACGCGGACCAAGCAGCAGACGGGACTCGAACCCGCACTCATGTGTGTATATGTTTGTAATTCTCACCCTTTGGTAAGTGATCAGCAGCTGGACCACTGGCAGAGCGTAAACGACCGCCACAGTGAGAGAACTCCAGAAGTACCTGCGTACAAACACTCACAAATCAGAAATCAATATATCTATTTGGGACACCTTTAGTTAAATAAAACTAGTTTTTAACGGGTTAATGCACGACACTAATTTAATGAATTTTAATAATTATAAAAATAAAACAGTTGATATTAAATTTAATGATAAAATAATTCGACATGTAAATAATACGATTTTCCTAGGATTAATAATAGAACCATGTTTAAATTGGAAGGAACATATAAATAAAATTAGCAATAAAATAAGTTCGTTTGTCTTTGCTCTGCATAAATTATCAAAAGTTGCAAATAAAGCCACAGCTATCACAGCTTATTATGCTTATGTGGAAACGATATTAAGATACGGTCTTATAGTCTGGGGAAATGGCACGGACATTAAAAGAGTATTTGTATGCCAAAAAAGTGTATACGGGCAATTTGTAATATAGCCCCGGATGTTTCTTGTAGAACATATTTTAAGGACCTAAATATTTTAACTTTGACTTCTTTGTACATTCTCGAAGTAGCAACTTTTGTAAAGCAGCACTACCATTTGTATACAGTCGCAAAAGATGTAACAGATCGAAGTCTGAGGTATCCTAATAAAATAAAAATGGACATAGTTCCGAAAACAAAGCGATTCCAAACAAATGCACCGGCGATGGCAATTAAAATTTATAATCAATATTGCGAAGGGCAATCCGGGCGAATGCATTGACCAATCATGCTACCTCGGCCTTGATGGCCGCGTCGAAATTTTCCTAGCCTTAAGCTACGAGGCAGCGCCATCTTTTCGCATTGTAGGTAATCCACAATGTCAAATGAATACATTTACAAGTATTAAACATTTGAAAGAAGAAATAGCAAGCAAAAAAAATAAAAACATAACTATAATTGCTATTTCATCCGTGGTAGCATAATTGGTCAGTGCATTCGCCCGGATTGCGAAGGGTGCGGGTTCGAGTCCCGTCCGCTGCCTGATCGGCGTGGATTTTTTTCTAGTAAAACTTTTCTTAAGGTATAATGTTTATGTTTTTGTAATCTAAAAGTTGAAACAGCAAGCTTAGTTTTATTTCTCGTGTTTAATAATTAATGAATATCGCTTTTCTTTATAAAATTGGTATAATATTTATGCACATTAAGTATTTTTTCATAAATGTTTAGTCCCGCCAATGGTAAAATGTTAATTTTATTAAAAATTTAAATGTTATATGTATTACCTGAGAAGCTCGATGGCGCAAGTGGTTAGCGCGTTCAGCTGCGATCGTTGAAGTTAAGCAACTTTCGCAGTGGCCAGTCATTGGATGGGTGACCAAAATTTACTATCTCTCCCTCCTCCGTGCTTCGGAAGGCACGTTAAGCCGTTGGTCCCGGCTGCATCTGCAGTCGTTAGCACCCGCCAATCCGCACTGCGCCCGCGTGGTGATGGCCCTATCTCTCTATTCCATCCATAGGGAAAGCCTGTGCCCCAGGAGTGGGGACATTAATAGTCTGATGATGATGCATTACCTGTCTGTCCGTCTCGAGTGAGCGACGGGCGTGGCCCGACTGAGGTCGGCCACAGTTAGTGGTCTCGTCAGCCCCTGCCATTCCGGAATGGACGACAGAGAATCTTTAAAACAAACCACACGATTCAATTCATACTAATACCATAAATGCAAAAGTGTGTCTGTCTTATCACGCTTAAGTGTCAAGTGGGAGACAATGTAACAACAGGAATATCACTATATTATCGCCGGCCATTTGGCGTCTAATGACAGTTGTTCAAAATGGCGGCATGTTAAACCAGTAAACCTACTTCAATACGTTATAGCTATTAACGGGATTGTTACCATGTACCTTGTTTTTTATGAGTCTCCGATATTTCGGCACTGTTGCAAGCGCCATGATCACGGAGTAACTGAAGTAATTGCGGGTAGATGTTATTGGCAGACATATCGGTCTACCCTCTGACGTCGTCTTTTACTGCGCTCGATACCCCTACCATACCTGCTTTGGATAGGTTACAGCGGCGCGCGATCCGCATCATAGGCGATGAGGAAGTGACTAAACACCTTGAGCCTCTTCAATTACGCCGGGACGTGGCGTCAATGAGCGCGTTCTATCGTCTGTACCACGGCGAGTGTTCTGAGGAGTTATTCGCTCTTATCCCACCTTCTCCTTTCCTTTAGAGGACCACGCGCGCTAGCCTACGGTGTCACCGTCTAACTGTGGCCACAATTCCAACGCGTACAAAGAAATTTGGTGACTCATTTCTTTGTCGCACTATCCGTAAATGGAATGCTCTGCCCGCTCACGTGTTCCCTCCCTCTTACAACCTGGGATCCTTTAAAAGAGGCGTGAACAAGCAACATGCGGGTCGACAAGGTGAGGATGGCTGGTGTGGCAGGTAGAATTGCTGTATCAGCTATCCTCACGTCTGGACTTCACCTTCACTTAACATCAGGTGGGGTGGAGTCATTTGTCGGACCTATCCGTAAAAAAAAAAAAACCACTGGTCACATTCTCACTATTCACTCGCACCTGTTCCCGACACACAATACTCACAGTATCAGATCGCGGAACGACACTTTTTTTGATTTTTGCGGTTTTTGCATATACGAACCACTGGATTCCAGACACTAGACAATTTAAACCCATCCTCACGATTGAAATTTTTGTGTTTGGTTATTTCAATCGCTTCCCTGACCAATCTTGGTATGTAGTGGCGTTCTGTCGAAATAATTTGTGAATTATGGAGCTCAATCCAGTGATTAGGAGCCGAATCGATTAAATGTCCGGCGATAGCTTATTTTTGCGTATCCTTATCGCGGAACATTGTCGGTATCGAGCGCAGTAAAAGACGACGTCAGAGGGTAGACCGATATGTCTGCCAATAACATCTACCCGCAATTACTTCAGTTACTCCGTGATCATGGCGCTTGCAACAGTGCCGAAATATCGGAGACTCATAAAAAACAAGGTACATGGTAACAATCCCGTTAATAGCTATAATGTTAGTGTCCATGAAAGTTTAAAACAATATACTTCAATACAGATCAAAGAAAAATAAGAAAAGACCAGAGATATTTCTTATGTTACCCTGTCTCCTTATCGAACATACACCGCCAAGCATTGAAATGAAATTTAGTATAGTAGATAATAATTTAGAAGAGTTTTTTTCCGAGAAATCACTCTTCGAGAGGATGTGGAAGTTTGTATAGGGAACCAATTTTTATGAGCAGACGAAGTCTCAGACATCCACTAGTCTTAGGCCCGTATTATAAAAAGATTCTCAGTAATGAATCTAGTCTTGAGCATAGTCAGAAAGAGATGCCACTATATATAGCACATAGCGGCATCCCTCTCTAACGCTACTCAAGTAAAGATCAACACTTAGTTGTCATTCTGTAATACGGGCCTTAAAGTGCAATAGGGTATTTGACAAGTTTTAGAAAACGATCTCACGTTATTGACAATGTTTATGGAGTCCGTAAAAAGTGGATATTCATCATTCTGTTGTGTATTTCAGTAAAAATAACCAAATCAAAAACTCCAATTTCAAGTAGCAGCGTAAACGTTTCTCTGGACAATATGGCGTCTTACTAGTGTGTGACGTCACTAGACTGTTAATGAAACGTCAAACGATACAATGTAATGTCACTATAACCGGAAGTTTACTTGACTTTTGACATCATTTTAGGCTCCACCAATCCCAAACGTTTAGGGTCACGTGACAATAGATAATAAAACTATTATCTTTTCCGTGGGTTTTAGTGAAATTATGAATACTTTTTTTTTGAATAGTAAAAACCCCTGCCTCTAGTATTAAAAATAAAGTGCCAATTGTTAGCATCTGTGTTTAGAATTAATATTGGCAGGGGATTTTACTATTTTTACAAAAAAAAATCATAATTTTACTAAAAACCCACGAAAAAGATAATAGTTTTCTTATCTATCGTCACGTGACCCAAAACGCTTGGGATTGGCGGAGCCTAAAATGACGTCACACGCAAGTAAACTTCCGGTTACAGTGACATTACAATGTATCGTTTGACGTTTTAATAACAGTCGTGTGACGTCACACACTAGTAAGACGCCATATTGTCCAGAGAAACGTTTTCGCGGCAATTTGAAAATGGAGTTTTTCATTTGGTTATTTTTACTGAAATACACAACAGAATGATGAATAACCACTTTTTGCGGACTCCATAAACATTAGTCAATACCGTGAGATCGTTTTCTAAAACTTGTCAAATACCCTATTATACACATGATAATGTGTTTCTTCCTCGATCCGTTTGCTCTTAATTATTGTAATGAGGGTGTTTATGAAAATTTATGTCATCAGTTGACGCCACTGTGACATGAGGTCTATTGTATGAAGTTTTTGTCTCGAACTAATCCAACGAGCATTTAAATTGAACCATTGACTATGACGACACGCGATTTGACGGAAAAGTAGACCTTTCGTCTCAGTGCTGCCATCTGGTACCCGTCTCAAGAAACCCTCATTGGTTTTAAACAGGGAACCTTTTTTAAAATCGGTAAAATATGATAGGATACAAACACTTTATTGCCCAACAATCAACATAAATAACACATGACAAGACAAAACAATTACAGCTGCACAAAGGGCGGTCTCATCGCGAATAATCAACGGTTTAGGCCGCGCTGTTTCATCTAAAAAAAAATATTAGGTTATATTTTCCCCAAAGAACAATTAAGGTCTGTATTTTTTGGTTTTGTTTCACTATGACAGTAATTGTCAGCATCTCATATTTTTGAAGTGAAAACTTCTTTAGCGGCGTTGTACACTTTTTTTGTATGGGTAAAAGATGTGAAACTCGCGTCAGGTTAAACACGTGGGCTGATCGCATCATGACACACAATAAAATTGGAAAGGTTGTTGACTTTCAATATATTAGACGAAACATAGTAATATTTTATTTTACCGTATTATAATAATAAGTCTCTATCTAGGACGTCCACGTGGCAGCTTTATTGCGAAGAAAATGCATTTTTTACAATAGATGTCGCTGGGTGCGCTTAAATGTGATTCATGTAATTTGATTTTTCTGAGAGATAAACTTTTTTAATGTAATATAAATTGTCATGTTTGTGTACGATAGCGCAATAAATAAATATTGTATTCTACCACATACACGATAGTACTTTTATACTGATAATTAAAGCAATTCGTGCAAAATTATTCCCTAACCATTCCAAAATATCAAAAATGCACAACGTTAATATTCAAGTTTTCACTTCTGCCGGCACTCCCGGAGTGCAACCCGTCGTTTTTTTTAATCACGGTTTTTCACGTTCGTTTTTAAGCCTTATTGTAATATGTGGATAGTCGTAATTGGCTTTCAAATTGTATATCATTGATTGTAATTCCAATATATTAAAATACAACAGAAAAAAAATACCATTCAATAAAGTAAATTTTTATTACCAATGAAACAAATTGGGTCCTTCGATAAATGAAGAAAGATAAGACTTTATTTGTACCAACATGAACACATACCAAATCTTAAAATTATATCTGCCCTTTAAAACAATTAATAAACATATAATATTACTAGCTGTCCCAGTGAACTTTGTACCGCCATAAAAAAATAGGGATTGTTCTACCACCAATCCAAGGTGAAAATTTAGGGTTATATGTATTTTTGTATGATGTATAATAAAAAAATAAAAACAAAATTTTGTCAACAAAAAAATTAAGCGTGGACCACCCTTAACATTTAGGGGGATGAAAAATAGATGTTGTACGATTCTCAGACCTACTGAATATGCATATAAAATTTCACGAAAATCGGTCGAGCCGTTTCGGAGTAGTTCAATTACGCACACCGTGACACGAGAATTTTATATGTTAGATAATCTTGCCCGTATTTGACAAAGTCGACATATGACACTGACATTATGTAAGCAGTTGGTTTTATGTGGGGCGATCGGTTTATTGCGCCGTTTCATTAATACAATGTTCGATACTATTAATGTTTACGCGGAATTTTTCTTCGAACGCAAAATCGCCAGTCAGAGAGCCATTTTGTAACAAACAACGAAAACAGTACAATTGCGACGCAAATCTGACTCAGCCCCGATCTGATGTCAAGAATTACTAAAAATTTGATAAATATGTCGTTCTTACAAAAAGTGCCCTTGTTTCACAACACGATAGTGGACGAAGTAGGTAATACTGACTGCTTGTCATTTTTATAATTTCCGAAAATAATTCTCATTTTTTACCTGTCAGTGACATATGTCGACTTGGTGAAACAGGGCCCTGTCCTTTAAAACAATTAACAAATTTAATATTATAATCTGATCGCGTGCAGCAGAGGTGAATGGGAGAAAACTCAGCAAAACATTTAATGACGCTAATTTTCAGTTCTGACTATGATGACGTATACATGAGGTACAATTAAATTCGAGGCGCTCGATGGCGCAGGTGGCTAGCGCGTTCGGCTGCGATCGTTGAAGTTAAGCAACATTCGCAGTGGTCGGTCATTGGATGGGTGACCAAAAATTTACTATCTCGAGCTCCTCCGTGCTTCGGAAGGCACGTTAAGCCGTTGGTCCCGGCTGCATTTGCAGTCGTTAGCACCCACCAATCCGCACTGGGCCCGCGTGGTGGGTCATGGCCCAATCTCCCTATTCCATCCGTAGGGAAGGCCTGTGCCCCAGCAGTGGGGACATTAATAGGCTGATGATGATAATGACAATTAAATTCAACGATATTAAAATAACATAGTCAATTACACATTAATGAGACATATCATTATTATGAGAAATTCTATTTTTATTTTGAGATAAATGTAAAGAAGAAACAACTTTAAATTTTAAACATATAGCATTTAAATGCTGTAAAAAATTAAATATAATATGGTATTTGACAAGTTTTAGAAAACGATCTCACGTTATTGACTAATGTTTATGGAGTCCGTAAAAAGTGGATATTCATCAATTCTCTGGACAATATGGCGTCTTACTAGTGTGTGACGTCACACGACTGTTATTAAAACGTCAAACGATACAATGTAATGTCACTTTAACCGGAAGTTTACTTGCGTGTGACGTCATTTTAGGCTCCGCCAATCCCAAGCCTTTTGGGCCACGTGACAATAGATAAGAAAACTATTATCTTTTTCGTGGGTTTTTAGTAAAATTATGAAAATATTTTTTTTGTAAAAATAGTAAAAACCCCTGCCAATATTCATTCTGAGCACAGATGCTAACAATTGGCACTTTATTTTTAATACTGTCAAATACCATATTTTTAAATAAATAAATATATTATGAGATATGTCATATTAAGTCTGTTACTAGCGCCATCTAGTTAGTTATCTGCGGACGAACGCGAAGAATCGAGTGAAGAAACCTATACGTCACACACATCTCTGCACTATCATACTAAACAGCACGCATATTTAAACATCTAATTTAATATTGTAATTATTATCCGAATAAATCAGTTTAAGCGATAAAATAAACGATTCATTCAACAAAGGAGTACCGACGACCCCCCCCCCCCCCCCCTCCCCACCAAATTAAAACGAAACAGAAGCACAAATAATACAACAACCGACCCGACCGCACTGAAGCAACCAACTCCTGGACGTTACAATTTTCTAAAGTTATAATAAAGATGATTTCATGTGTTTTTTTTAAATAAGACGACAGACAGACGATGGACAGTATTTTACGATAACAGTACCCCTAGCACGAACCATTATCGAATTCGAATAGTTTGCAAACCGAAATGTCAATGTCAATGAAATGTTGACGACCTCTTAGCCGAGTGGTTTATACGCCGAGTTTCATGGTGTAGCCGACTTGAGAGGTCCCGGGTTCGAATCCCGGTGGGGGCAGATGTATTGTGTGATGAATACGAGCATTTGTACTCCAGTCTGTCTGGCATGTTTAATATGTATTTCTATATAAATATACTATATATATATATATACTTATATATGTATTGTATATGTATTGTATTCGTTACCCTAGTATCCCATAACAAAAGCCTTACAGTCCTTACTTTGAGGCTAGGCTAATTGGTGTCAGTGTTGGAAATATTTATTATTATTTAATGTCAAATTTCGTATGGAAACTTGAACAGCAGCGCAAAACAAAACAAGAACAAAGGATATAACGGGAACTAAAAAAACAGTTCACATTTGACAGTGACATTTCGGACTCGCAAACGATACGAATTCGATATTGGTTCGTGCTAGGAGTACAGTAAATATGTCTAAAATAAAAACTTTATTCAAATCGGAAGCATAAGACGACTCTTTTGAACCGACCACATTTTTTCCCAATTAACAGATAAGGGTATTTTTAGATGTCGAGAAAAATAGGCGAAAAGAACTTTGCAGCGTTAAGAGCCCTTTTACAAAATTGCGCCGCTGTCGTACTGATCGGCGCGTAGGTAGATTTGCACTAGCATATATTGCATTTTACGGGTGATGTTTCGAGTCTTATAAAATAATTATAAATGAACTAATTATAAAAAATTATACATATTTCAGTAGTTCAATGATGGTAGATTAGTTTTATGAAAGTTTTTGATAGTAATACTATTTAATTCAATGTCAAAATACGAGGTAAACCTGCATTATTTTTTGGGAAAACTCACGGAGGTTAGATGTCTTTTTTGATAATTAATGAGATGGAAATTCAAAATTCTAATACATTATGTTACAACAAAAACATATTTCTGATGTCGTAGTAATTAATTTGATCTAATTTATTGAACATTATTTAGAGATTCAGACGTTTGAAGTTGTGCATATTATCGTTTTTTCCGTAAACTAGTTGCGGTAGAACGATCAGTACAAAAAAAGGAAAAAAGTATTTGCAAATATTCTACATTAACTTACAATAGGAAGAATAAATCTACCGTTTATTTCCATTGGAAATAGTCAAAATCTTTTCTAAGGGGGTAAACGAGGCGCTCAAAAATTTTGCAAAAAATGTGAAAGGGCTCTTATCATAAGCCTACAATGCCTACTTTGGGGCCAGGCTAATTGGCGTAAGTGTTGGAAATATTAATGAATTAATTTGTAGGTTTATGCGGCATACTCTACGCCAACGTATACTTTCTGACCACTCGTCTGTAACCTATTTACAAAATATCATATCGATATGGTTTCAATACAAAATCATCTCTATCATAAATTATAGAAACAGCCTGGCGGAACGTTTAGAACACTGAAAAACCCAAGCTTTTCGTCTGAAATATAATCAGAATATGTACGAGTGTCTTCTTGTGTCCGTTTTTGGTCCAATGGCGGCAGCATGCAGGTGCGGCGCGGCCCCCCCCCGCCCTGAGTGATGCCCTGTCGGCGACAGACCGCGGCGCCGTAGCCGGCTGCTTGTACACTTCCCTCTTGCCTCAACAACGGCGCTTCCTCTGATATTTCCAAAAATAACGCGAAAATATTTATAAAAAAAACGAGTGCGCTTATGACCACACGCCTGAAGTGACACTTCATTAGCTCCATCTGTATGTATATATGTATACAGGGTGTTGCAAATTTACAAATAAAGCTTGAAGGGCGTTGAAGTACAACATATATAGGGAGTCTTCTCTAATTTTCTTAAAATATTTGCATGAAGTTTTTTTGCATGAACAGTTATTTTTAATGATGAATAAAAATATCGATCATTTTAAGACACATCACTAATATTTATTAAAAAATATAAGTTAATATTTCATGCAAATATTTTAAGTAAATTAGAGAAGACTCCTTATATGATGTACTTCAACGCCCTTCAAGCTTTATTTGTATTTTTGTAACACCCCGTATATTTCGTTTCCTCGCTTTATGAAAAAAAGAGGGAAAGAAAATGAGCACGCGCCCTGCTTTCTCTTGCTCATATCCCGCACTCAACTCCCGTTCGCCTCGCCCGAATATACTATTCGTAACGCGTAACGCATTCGCCGGCTTACACCCCCCCCCCCCCCAAATCAAGCGTGCGCGAAAAAGTTTCACTTCAAAAATAAAATATTCGATTCATATACAATAGGGTATTTGACAAGTTTTAAATAATAATCACATGTTATTTACATATATTTTTAGTCGTAGTCCATAAAAAGTGGAGTTGAGTTGAAAAAAAAACAGTATAAAAAAGTCCCTTTTCAAGTGGCCGCAAAAATGTTTCTTTGGACATTATGGTGTGTCCCTACCGTGTTACGCCACACGACTGTCATGAATACTTCAAACGATACAATGTCATGTCACTTTGACGGAAAATAATGGTTTTTAACCGACTTCAAAAAAGGAGGATGCTCTGTGTTCGACTATATATATTTTTTATGTATGTTCACCGATTTCTCCGTCAATTGTGGACCGATTTCCAAAGTTATTTCTTTATTCGAAAAAGTGCACTTCCGAGGTGGTCCCATTGGAACCAAATCAGGATCTGATGATTATATGAATTTATTTGAATAAATTATAAAATTTGAAATATAAGAAAATAAAAATTATTTAAATAAATTGCAATTTGACAATTATGCGTGATAAAATCGCGATATATATCATATTGCGGTACTCATGCTAGGGGGGCTGGCAACACTAGTCGTGGAACAAAAGAAATAAACTATCATGCTTAACGTGACGCTAGACCAAAACTACCTTGGTATATTCCATAACACCGGAGTTTCGGTTGGATTTTCAGCATTTCTCAAATCCGGAGTTGAAACAAAAAACCGAAGTTAAGATCGGTTTTTAAATATGACGATTACGCATCTTGAACGTAAATCCTTATGTCACTCCACTTCTTTTGAGGTCACAAAAAGTAGATTTTAGTAATTTAATATTTTTATTTTAAGCATTTAAATGCTAGATTTGTAAATCTAAAAAAATCTTACTAATTACGCTACCGCGACCCACACGGACCGCGTCGAAATTCTTCTAGCCATTCTTAAGCTGCAAGGCATCGGCCATCTCTTCGCATTTCGAAGAGATGGCCGATAACTATAAATGTAAATTTCTTTTTTCAAAAGTTTAATACTTGTAAAAGTATTCATTTGACATTGTGGGTTACCTACAATGCGAAGAGATGACCGCCGCCTTGCAGCTTAAGAATAGCTAGAAGAATTTCGACGCGGTCCGTCAGGGCCGCGGTAGCATAATTGGTCAGTGCATTCGCCCAGATTGCGAAGGGTGCGGGTTCGAGTCCCGTCTGCTGCCTGGTCCGCGTGGAATTTTTTCTAGTTATATTTTCTTTAGATTTAAACATCAAGCAGTTACATGCTTTAAAATAATAAAAATTATAATAATGCCTATACTTTAAGGTATTTACCGCCAAGTCCGTATCGTGTGATAAGGAAATTCCTTCCAAGAATAGCAGACAAAATGACGACCTAACTAATACACCTTTTACGGTTAAAAAGATTAGTGAGCCGATATCAAGAAAAATGCAAGTGGTATCACGTTCGCGTTATAGATTAAACGGCGTTTATCTATGAATCATTATTATATTAGGCGATACATGAGAAAGGCATTAGAGTCTGGCGTTGTATGTTGTATGTTACGACGTAGGCATCCGCTAAGAAAGGATTTTGATCAATTCTACCCCCAAGGGGATAAATAACGAAGCGAAGCGAGGGCGGACCACTAGTATACAATAAACTACAATTGCTACTTTCTTATTTCAAATGTTTGATACTTGTAAAAGTATTTATAACACATTTGCTCGTAAAGTGTCTCTAATTGCACCAATTTCAATATCATAATCTATCACATTACACACGCGTGCGGTAATGTAAAGTTAAACGCACGGCTTATTATGTTCCGTCTAAAAACGAACGATACTTTTTAAATCTTAGCAAAGAGTTTTTATGTCTGAAAGGTAGCCAACATTTTCATTATAAAATTAACTTGGGAGGTAAAATATAATATGCAAACATTTAATTTTTTAATTTGATTCATTTTGACTATAAATAACAACCATGTATCGGTAACATATTCACAAAAATATTAATTTACTTTATTAGTAACACTGGCTGTTTTGTTCCTTTGCCTAAAAAAGCGTTGATGCGCGCGCATCGCTAAAAAGTTATTTCTTTCTCGTTTCGCTGTATTGTTTTTATTTGAAAATATTATCAAGTAGTAACTAATTTATTAATTTGACACTGAAAGAAGTCAAAAAAGGCTACGCCAAGCCTCTTGCCCGAAAAATCCACGGATAGATACTTACAGTCAAGCGTATCAAAATTTCATCTTATGGAAAACAAACAAAGGTGCAAATTCATTTTCTGAAAGTACGTACGTAGGTAGTATTATTTCCTCGCAAATGTGTTATAAAACGTCGTATGACATACGTGCGGTTTGATAATTACAGCCTCTGCCTTCTTATAGCTCTCACCTACGGCTGGGGCTAACAATATCGCCTCGGCTGTAATACTCAACTTACCGCACTTATATCATAATGTAGGTACTATTCTTTATTTATTTATATATTTGCTATCATGTACAAAAGTTAAAAGATGTCACATATATTCTTAGTTATAGCACATGACCCTGTAAGGGTATTGCAATATTAAGTTGATAAAATTATATACTTAATAATAAAAATGTATTCATAAACAAGTATAAGATTGAATTTAATGGATATTACATTTGACTTTGTGAGATGCCTACAATGCGAAGATATGGCGCTGCCTTGCAGCCTTTGAAATACTAGAAGAAATTCGACACGGCCATCAAGGTCACGGTAGCGGTAATTGATCAGTGTATCCACCCGGATAGTGGAGGGTGCGGGTTCGAGTCTCGTCAGCTGTCCGGACCGCGTGGATTTTTTTTCTAGTATTTTTTTGTTTACATTTAAAAGATATGGAATTTGACTAATGAAGTACTCACCGTTGTCCGAAAGATCGCCGCTCAGTCCCGGGTTCGCAGCCGTGGTGGGCACTTCTGTATCATTCAGCATTACCACTCGTTTTCGTGTAACTGCTAATTATGCAATTAACTTCATTATTATTTAATAATTTATTTAATTACACAATCTGTATGGGACTTTATTTATTTATTATTTGGGAAATAATAATATTAAATTCGGAAAATAAAAATTACAATTAAACATTAAAGTAGATGTTTCATTTTGGGCCAGGTCTATGTACACATTCCTAAAACATAGGGTAAACAATAAGCATTCCCAGAAAGATAATAATAATTAGTTACTTTACCGATGATTTTACCGATGTCTGTGGTAATATTATTAATGGCAACATAGTACATTAAAAAATGTAATGTGTAAAAAAGCGTCACAAAACTAAAGCATACTCAAAAAGTTTGAACAAACTAAAGTAGCTCTAAAAATATTACGAGGTAATATTTTTTATTTATACATATATAGACCAGGGTCGATAAATTTTTGAGACCAAAAAAAATTATAGTAGGGTGACACCCATTGGAAAAAGTAGAGAATATAACAAAAATGAGCGGAAAACTAAATTACGGGTCGACGATCTGAGGTCGGGAAGGGGGAGGGGGCAGTTTTTAAGGGTAAAATACGGTTAATCTCGATTTCCGGTAAAACTGCAAGTCCTATGAACAAAAGTTAAATGGCAAAGTTGTAGGTAATAAAAAGATCTACAACTTTTGTATCGACACTTTTTTCACATAACCTCAAAATTTATGTGAAAAATTCGAATAACCGAGTTTTTGGTTTTTTATTTTTTGCAAAACAAAATATTTTTTCACGAAATTTAGTGTAAACTTAGCTTTGTATGTCCCAAATATACAGTTTTTTTTTTTAATTTAAAATATTCATTTTTTCACCTTATTTTGACTTTTAAAATTCTCACGTCAAAATATCTGCTTTTTTTAAAAAGTTGGTGTGTTTTTTGTTTGTTGAAATCTCTACTTTCTGATGGTTTAATTTTGAGCTATTTATTAAAATTTACACTTTAATTACTCGAAAAACGTAAGATTTCATGTTATATTGATAAAAAAATGCTAATCGAGATATACTACAATAATTAACAACCAAATAAGTTCACAAAGTTAATAATTAATAAGACATCTACAATATTTTCGAATTTTTCACATAAATTTTGAGGTTATGTGAAAAAAGTGTCGATACAAAAGTTGTAGATCTTTTTATTACCTACAACTTTGCCATTTAACTTTTTTTCATAGGACTTGCATTTTTACCGGAAATCGAGATTAACCGTATTTACACTTAAAACTGACCCCCTCCCGCTTCCCGACCTCAGATCGCCCGTAATTTATTTTTCCTTTCATTTTTGTTATATTCTCTACCTTTTCCAATGGGTTTCATCCTACTTTTTTTTTTACTTTTTACCATTTTTAAAATTATCGACCCTGGTCTAGTAAATGAAGCCTGGGTGCACAGCGGAACTCGAATAATACGAGGAAAATCGGCTGGTTTTCTTTTTATTTGCAGGCCGTGATAAACAAATTAGATTGCTGACACCTTACCACCTATCCTTGTCATTCAGTGTATCCTGATACAGCTAGGATACACTGAATGACAAGGATACACAATGTGAAGGATACAACAATGACAAGGATACACTGCTGCAAAATTTAAACTTAAATTTTGAAAAAAGAATCATGCCGGAATCGATACCAGTGTTAGCAATCGATGTAAATATTTCTGTCAATTAATGTAATTGGGTAGTATGAACTTAGCTGTAAGTTGCTTATTTGACTTTATCCGGTCGCGCGACTTGCCGTTGCCGCGCGGTTGAAATAATGTACCATTGCTGATTTGACAAGAGAGTGAAAACTATAAAACAACTGGCAAGTCACGCGGTCGGTCATTCGATTCAAGTTCTTGGCGTGGAAAAGTCGCTTAGAAAATAGTGTACCAAGTGAAGTGTAGAATAAAAGTGAATTGTGCAAGAAGAGTATTTTATTTAGATTGCTTTCAACTTCAGAAAGCGGGATTACATCAAGCTTATATGCTCGATCGAGGACTTAACGCCCGAAAATACAGGTACGTGAGGTGATTCTATAATTTAATAAATTGAGCGTACACTATTTTATAAGAACACTTCAGAAAGATAATTCAATCATTTTTTTTATGGAATTATCATGTGGTTTTGCTCTAAGGGTTTTACATGAATTTCTGTAGAAAACAGTTAATAGTGTTAAAAACCTACCCAAAAATGTGGTGTATAAACTTTGCAGTATAAATTACGTGTATTTTACAAAAAAACATTTTAATCTTGCAAGTAGGTAAACTATTTTATTTTTTAAAATAAAATACATCAATATTACTACATTTTTAATCATAAATAGTAAATGAGAGTGCATATTATTGCTATTGCATGGTTTAATACCTATTTCATAAATCAGTATACGTTTAAAATATAAATATATTATTATTTTATAAAACTGTAACATTTTGTACTGTCGTTTTTTTAAATTTTGATTAAGTATTTTAATACTGAAGCTCTAATAAACTGTAACTGTATGTTCGAACTGTACGAATAAATAGCACTAGCGCTGAAAAATTACATTATATTGTAATCATATCAACTCGTGCCATATTTCCGATATACCTTCTAATAATAAAAAAAAAACTGTTCTTTTATAATAATATAAAAAAAGGGGTTGTGAACGCTTACTTGTTTTTCTTTTATATTATTTCAGTAATTATGGGAAATAAAAGAGTATCACGCAAACGAATGCGTAATGAAGATAACTATAGAAGTTCATCGCGTACATCAGACTCTGATGGCAGTCCGGAGCAGCGTAGCAGGCGTGCCTCGCGTAATAAGCGCACGCGACGCAATCGCAGCGATAACCGCCATGACACTCGGAGCCGTCACGTGCCGCGAAGCAGATCGAGGGCAGTGCAAGATTCTCAGCTCCATCGCAAAAAAGTATCGAGACGCGATCAGGTAACCCGTAGTCCTGTAGTCCAAATAATGCGAGGAGAAACCCCACCACTTCCCCAAGAGCAGATTCAAGACCGACGTTCTCCCATAGCAAGTACATCTGTTTTACCTAATCCAATTTTCTTAGAGACTTTTAAAGATTTAATACAGGCTTTAAAACCAGATAATAGTAATAAAATTGATCATTTTCCATCCATGAATGTTATACCAGAGTTTGATCCATCTAAACGAAATCAGACTATGGATACTTGGATTTTGAAAGTAAATGAATGCCGTAGCATTTATGGATGGAATGAGAGGCAAACCATCCATTATGCGTTGCCTTAACTAGTTGGATTTGCACAAAAATGGTACCAGGGTTTGCCTAGCCTCTTGTTTAGTTGGGAAGAGTGGCAGGATAAACTTAGACATGCATTTCCTAGTGATGAAAATTATGGACATTTGTTGTCGGAAATGTTGGCTTGCAAAGCACGATTTGGTGATTCTTTAGAGGAATATTACTACGAGAAAATGGTTTTGCTAAATAGATGCTCAATAACCGGTAAAAATGCTACAGATTGTATTTTATATGGGATTGAGGATAAATCAATAAGGACGAGTGCTGAAGCGGCGCAGTTTACTGATCCTGATAAACTATAAGTAAGTAAGTATTCCTTAGAAATGTCAAAAGTAGTGAGCGAGTAGAACGATTGCAAATGCCTTCAAATTCAAATGCTTTCGACAACAAACGCCCAAAATTTAGTAAAAATGTAAATAATCCATCTGAAAGTAAGCCCAGTAATAATAAGTGCTATAATTGTGGTGAGTTGGGACATCCATACTATAAGTGTAAGCAACCTATAAAACGATGTGAAGTATGTCATAAAGTTGGTCATTTAGCGAACGCTTGTCAGTCAAAGAATGATTCTAATAGTAATAAAACTGTTTTACGTATCTCCCAATATAATGATAATGACTCCAAATATTTTAAACCAGCTAAGGTGAATGATAAGGTATTAGATTGTTTTATTGATTTCGGTAGTCAATGTACTATGTTAAAAGAATCGGTTGCTAAAACTCTCGTTAAAAACTGGTCTGTTTCTGATTTACCTACTTTGCGGGGTTTCGGTGATTCGGTAGTCGATTGCCTTGGTAAATGTCATGTCACAATAGAGATAGATAATGTTCAAGCTGACTTAGAGGCTTTGATTGTACCCGATAACTTGCTGCGCGTTCCATTATTATTAGGGCAGACGTTCACTGAACGGGATCACGTGATTGTGTATAAAAATAAAGATACCTTACAATTAATGTCCAATTACAGAAACACTGATAAAATTGCTATTTATTCGTCGGAGACCTGTTTTATTCCTTACGGTTGTACTAAAATTAAAGTAAACTCGGATCCAAAGCACAATGGTAACATTTTAATAGAGCCTAGTTTATGTCAGCAACCTTTTAGAGAATATGAAATACTACAAGGTGTAGAGGATCTTAACGATGGTAGTGGACAAATTATTATTAAATGTTTTTCAAAACAAGGTTTTCAATTAAACAAATCTACTTTAATAGCGCGTGCTTTTCCGTTAAACGAAGTTGTACCGATTCATGTTAATCGGATTGAGAATAATAATGATAAAATTTTGCTGAAACCTATTGAAGAATCAATGATTAATGTGAACGATACGTTAGAAATTGATAACAAAGAAAAATTAATTAAGCTTTTAAACGAATTTAGAGATTGCTTTGCCTTTAATGTTAGTGAGTTAGGATGTGTTACTGAATCGGAAATGAACATAAAATTAAATGATGATACTCCTGTAGTGTACAGACCATACCGATTATCTCAAATGGAACGCGAACAAGTTAGAGCAATGGTCAAGGAATTAGAAGACACCGGCATTGTCAGACAGTCTTCTTCTGAATATGCATCACCTATACTCCTTGTCAGAAAGAAAACTGGAGATTATAGACTCTGTGTCGATTATAGGGCTTTAAATAAAAAAACCTGTAAGGATCATTACCCACTACCTAGGATAGACGACCAAATAGATAATTTATCAGGTTCCAAATACTATACTTCTTTAGATCTCGCATCCGGGT